GGGGCAGAGGGGCAGAATCCCCTCCCTCGCCCTGTGCCCACGCTGCTGGGGATGCAGCCCAGGGCACGGCTGGCCTGCCGGGCTGCCAGCGCACGCTGATGGGTCACGTTGAGCTTCTCATCACCCAGCACCTCCAAGTCCTTCTCCTCAGGGCTGCTCTCCATCCATTCTCCGCCCAGCCTGGGTCTGTGCTTGGGATTGCCCTGACCCGTGAGCAGGACCTTGCACTTGGCCTTGTTGGACTTCAGGAGGTTCACACGGGCCCACCTCTCCAACGTGCCCAGGTCCCTCCGGATGGCAGCCCTTCCCTCCAGCCTGTCGACCGCCCCACACAGCTCGGTGTCATCGGCAAAAGGGATGGTCCAGGTCCGACAAAGCGTTGCAGAACCTCCTCATGAGGAGCGAAGGGGCAGAACTCAGGTCGGACAAAGCGTTGCAGAACCTCCTCAAGAGGAGCGAAGGGGCAGAACTGCTGCAGGAGAGCCCAACCACAAGCTTCAGCCACGGGTGGCTTTTTGGGTGGTGCCCATGCCGGAAGCCCCCCAGAGCTTGATGAAAACTGGAAGGTCAAGAAGAATGGAAATGTTATTACAATCTCTTCATGGCCATCTCTGGAAATTCAGCCCAGATACTCCAACCGCTCCCGGGCAGGGAAGGCAAGCACGCAGCAGAGTCTTTAGTCCTCAGTTCTTCTGAGCACTGAACTTTTTAAATCCAACAACTGGACATTTTTAGGAAAAAAAAAACACCAAAGCTGATCAGCCCTTGGGTTCTCCCCGAGCTGGCCCTCAAGGCAACAGAAAGCTGCACTTCACTACTTCACGGGGGCAAAAAGCCTGCGGGCAGCTCAGCACGGCGTCACGCAGCCCCAGGCCCCTGCGGGATGCAGACGTCTGTTCTGTAACACGATTTTTGACGGCAGTGCTGCACGACAGGGACAGTTCCGGCAAACAGCCTAATAAATGGTGTACGAAACAGCCCCCGCTCCTCAGCCAGCTTGGGGGAGGGCAGGGCAGGGAGCAAGTAACTGCTCCAAGGACCAGAAGAGCCCAATGCTATTATTGTATTCTTTTTTTTTCCCCTTGTTCAATGGTGACCAAAATCTCACACCCTGGTCTAAAAAGAAAAGTGACCTCACTGGCCCCTTATCCAGTTACAAAATATTTTCCTCCGCTGCTTCTATTTCAGCCTCGCAGGGACTCTCCTCGCTGCTGTCAGCCTGGCGCGGGTTATCTCGCGTTTTCCAGTCTTGGGTGGGGGCAGGAGAGCAGGTTCTTCCCCTCTCTCTCAGCCGGAATGAAGCTGAAGGCCTTTGATGACGCTGGCTTGGGCAAGCCAACTCCTGCCAGAAAGGTGTTCTGCTGAAGCCTGCACCCCGTCAGAGAACGACGGCGCGAATTCAGGCGGGATCCTGCCCTTCCTCTCCCTCGTCACCGCTGACGGCGAGGCAGCCGCACTCTCAGATTTCTGATGTTAGCCCTGGCTGTCGCCACGTCGGCTGCGCTGCAGCGACGGCTGAGCAGGGAAGCGGGGAAAAGAAAAAAAATAACATCTTTTTTACATCTACCACCACCATCCTGAACTCCCCAAACCCACTGCTGGGGCTCAGCTGCTGATGGCAAGAACGAAAGCCTTCCGACCCGCTCCGTCGAGCCCGAGCCGTTCCTGAGACCCCGGCAAAGCAGGGCGAGGTGGGCGGCCATCCCAGGCGCTGCCTCGGGGCTTGCAGGGCAGAGAGGGGCCAGGGGAGTTCTGGGCTCCCCAGTTCAAGAAAGGTGAGGAGCTACTGGAGAGAGTCCAGCGGAGGGCTACGAGGATGGTGAAGGGACT